CGAGAACTGTGGCAGGTTTTGCGCAACACTGACAGCACATGCAGCTGTGCAACATGCCAAGGCTGGGAGACAGGTCCCGTCAAGGCTTTAAGCTGACCAAACACCCGAGTCGTGAACAGATGTTGTTGCACCGCGGAACAAAGGCGAGCAAGATCTGGAGAGCACGAAACCCGACGACTATGCAAGCCACCGGAAACGAGAGTGCAAAAATTCAGGAAGATCGCGATGAGATTGTGTCGTTGGTGTTGGTGCGAGTATCGAAAAAGTAGAGGTGCCAGACACCCCACTTTCACCTTCCAAAACCCGTGGAGAAACGACTGAATGGCTAAGCCTGACCTTTTGGCGCCTTAACACCGTGGTGTTTTCTGCCGACTGGCGACAGATTCTGGTCTGACTGACCTAGCCCTAGATCAGCGCACGCCCAGGATCTGCACCTGCCACACCGCGCGGCCACGGCAGAGTCCTACGGCCCTACAACTCTGTCCAGAATCGAAACGGATGTTACCATAGAGCTGGAACCCAAGGAACATACTCGCACAAAGCGGCAAATTCACATGCCGTGTGATTGGCCCCGAGATGAAAGCCAGTCACACCCGCACGCGTGACTCTAAACTCCGAGAAAATCCTGAAAATCGCAGGGCCGATAATTAAGAAATTGCAGAAAACAAGAAGGTGCTGCCTCAGCCTCGTACTGGCCCAGCAATGCCTGCACTCGCTGTGCTTGTCTCGCGTCATGAGAGTGTGTTTGGCAATTGGCGTGGTTGTGCAAAGACGGTCAACATTCTTGTTGGCCGAATGGTCAGGCGCAGCTTTCAGCTTGCTGTACAGGAAACGAAGCTTACAGCGTGCAAGGGCTCAGCACCTCCGTAACTTTATGCAACTTCCTACTTCGCTCGCTCAGGCACCAGGCACGTGTGTTGATCAACTTGCAGGCACGAGCCTTACGGCATGGATGGGCGGCTGCCATGTTCCGCACACCAAGCGCGAGCCGTGCTGGATTTCACTAGTTGAGTCACTACCACACTCTCCTCGAAAGGACTTCTACGTTTCAATTGCTTCCTGTCTTTCCGCACACTTTCGAGCAAGTGAGGGCCAAGGCACCACGGCCTTGGATATGCCCGCCACAGCAGTGGCCTGTGCAGCAAGACATGCGACATGCGTTCATGCGTACCGACGACTCCTGGTGTTGTGTGCAAGCCTGCACACAAGGGGCCGCCGCAAACAGGACAATCAGGTGAGCAGCACAGCTCACCCTTCTGCAGTCCTCCACCTTGCAGCACTTTGCTTCGAAGTTCCGTTAATTTGGAAGACTCCAAACACACCAGGCCAGATCAGGTGCTGCAATTTGACAGGGGAGACAGAAAAGAAGGAAGAGAACAGGAACATCTCACAAAAACGATACCAAATCTGATGGAAACGAAACAAATCCAACAAATCCTGAGGCTTTCCATACTGGCAAAATGTACTTGACGCTTGCGGAAGGAAGCAAAGTCACACATCTTGGGTCCGCGCAAAGGCCTAGACCATGTGACAGAAAGAACGGTCGGACCTTCTGGGCTCCATTTCTCTAAATCTGCCAGCGTGTAGCTTCTTTCCGGCTAGATGCATAGGGTTGGAAGGTTGTTGAACTACTTCGTCAGACAGGCAGAGTGCGTAAGCCCACACTACGAAACTGAAGGTCTGCACATGATCCTAAGCCTGCCCTGGACGCAGGTTGAAAGGCTGCTGGGCAAGAATCCAGAAGCTGAGAACAAGCTCGGATGCAAGGCCTGCTGCATGTTCCGATGCGTGCATGATTGGTCACTAGTGCACTACGGCCATGCCCTGCTGCACTCTTGCAGATACAGATGCCCTGAAAGGAAAATCATTGCACGGCCGAGCCACGGCACCAGCCACTCTCAACATCCTTGCTTACCTTGGGACAACTCGAAGTGGAAGGTGAAAAATTTGCAAGATGTAGATCATGTGCTGGACGAAAAGCCCCCCTCTAAGGTGCGGATGTGGCACTGAGGCTCCAGAACTCCCGCCGACCCATGGCCTGCTTACCAGGCCGTCAGGCAGTGAGGGGATTAAGAATGCCAACGCGCACCTAAGATTCCACTGACAGTGAGGTATACCGTCGAAGTTGGCAGAGTCTGCCTGACGAGCTCAACAAAACCCAGCTTCCGACTCCCGTAGCCGTGGCCGGCGAATTCTAAGCCTGGCCTCAAACTCAGGTTGCCCTGCTCGCAGCATCTGCAAATATCCGGAGTGCTTTCTAAGGAAGGCAAACATTACCTTACACGGCGTGTTCCGGAGCGCTCGGAACCACTCAAGCAAGTGATTGTGCGGGCCCGAGGCCCGACCACAGGGATGTGAGACATTGATGTGTCGCATCCTCGGCGTCGTTCTCTCACAGCTCTAGTACAAGACCGGGCCATGTCCATGCAGACCGGGCACAGCCAAGCAATACTTATCGGGCCGGCAGGTTGCTGTCCTGGTGGTTTCCGTGACCTGGCACTTCCACCGAACGCCCAGAAAACAGACGTGGCTTACGTCGCTAGAATGCAGTTCAGGCACGCGTTGTAGTTGTAGTTGCAAAACCTTAGATTTTATGTGCAGCTGCTCTCGAACTCAATCATGTCTCGAGTTTCCCCAGTGGCAGCAAACTGAGGACGCAGCGTCCTGCTGTCTTTGGTGCCGATTTGACCCCAGTAAGCCTCAAGCAGTTCATCGCTCCTCAGTCGTACATTAAACATATATGTACATACATACGCACACACACACACACACATCTCGCGGCTTTCAGCTGTGCGCAAAGAATCAAATACAGCATCTCGCCCTGGAAGCGCTGCTTCAGCAGGTCGAAGGCATAGCTTCCACCACCTCTCTTGTACGGTCTGTGGAGGTTCCGCGCTAAGTCCTGAGTAGCAGGTTCCAGGATGCCCGAGCGTTGTGACTGAAGCACACAGAATTCTGGCAGGCAGGCTGATGTATCCGGGCTTCAATTGACTAGACTCCACTTGGCTAGGCATTGTTTTGCCGAAGATTCAGCCCGAATCGTGTTCAACCCGATTCGGCTGTTGGAGTAGAGGACCTGGGCAAGGGCTCGAGGCGACACGTCACTTCTTTGCATTGCTGCTCCCGAAGGGCCAAGGTGCTCCTAGCTGAAGCGTCAGGATGGCACCGGACCAGCCAACTGCGTCCCTGCCACGATGGGAAAATAAATGGAAGGGTACTGTGCATCGCTGGAAGCATTTCCAGAAAGGGTTTGTCAGCATGACCTTTTCAGGAAGTCGCAGTACGGCAACAAGGAGCCAAGAGTGTGGCCTTCGCTTGTCTCTTGCACTAAATGCCTAGACAATGAAGCTCCTGCATGCAACTCTGGTGCGGTGGAAAGCTAAAGCGTTGTGGTCGACGTTGAAGAGCGAGCCCCGCGTCGTCTTGCCTCAGCGTTCCGAAGTAGCAAAATCTGCGACCCGAACGTCTGCCGCGCATGTCATGCTCCTCATGTCACCCGAACTCCCTCAAGCAGGCGACCCCTTCCAAGCGAATGATAGTGCCGAGTCCGGGTGATGTAACCGACGGCCGGCAGCTCCTCCAGCAAGAACTTCTCGAACTTAGTCCATGATCCTGCCTGCGGAACCATCGCCAGCATGTCATCGTCAAGGAAAACGAAGTACCTCTCACAAAGTTTGCTCTGTAAGAACAGTCTAGCCTGGGCCGTGGGAGATAAACTGTCACAAAAGTGTATGAGTCCAGGTAAGCACCACCCGCAGGACAACGAAGCTGCCCAACTAGATGTCCGCTAAGCTGGGAGTTTCTAAGCATGGTCCGTTTCTCCAAGCTCCATAGCAGTCGTGGCACATGTAGCCAGGCCAGCACGGGCGGTGCCGACGCTGCAGAGCGGCCTCCAGAAGAAGGTTTCGACCCTCGCCCCACCAGGCCTGCCAGGCCAGATCCGGCAAAAAGCCGAGACAGCCAAGACGGCCCGATTCAGAACGCCCGATACCCACTTCCTTCCACAAACCAAAATTGCGGTGTGCCTGCGGTTCGTATAGCACGTCTGAGGTGGGGATGCCCCCGTACTCGCCGTGGTATGGCTTGTCGAAAGATAGCCACAGAACGTCCCCTCAGCTACAATGTTTTTTTAAAAGCTTGGCTGCGGCTACATGGCCTCCCCGCAACACCACGGAAGCGTACACGAAAGACACCGCATGCGCTGCGCGCGATGTGATGTCATGTTCATGCAATGCAGCTGCACGGGCTAGCCTGCAGCTTTAGGCTGCCTGGGAAGCAAACCAAGTTCAGCCTCATTGCGATTCGAGCGATCCTGGAGCGGGGAGGTGTCCAGCACCAATGCACCGTGCAGCAGGTAAATGAACCTCGGCTGCGTGCTGTGGGCTTGGGGAAGGATGCTACCCGGACAACAGGAAGTCTGCTTGGCTGGGAGCTGTGGCGATGAGCAGCTGCCGTTCCATTCCGTCAACACACAGTTGACTGTTACAGGCAGCAGCCAGGCCCATGCAGCAACATGCATTTGCCATGGGACTCGCAGGGATTATTTCGAAACTACTCCACATGATCACGTGACTACGATGAGCAATATCAGGGATGCTAAGAGTGGCCCGGACTTGGAGTGGCTCTCTTGCTGCTTGCTGATCAACGGCTGATCCGTCCACTAGCTGTCACATTTCTCTAAAGGGCTCTTTTGATTCTCGATTGCAAAAAGAAAGGACTTCTCTGCTCATCCGTGGTGGCCGTGACGAGAAACACCATCCGGCTTCAGGAGTTTCAGCACCGATAAACCCGAAACAGTTTTGTCTTGGCATGAGAGTGTATTGTGAGGGCTCGGAGGAGGGTCAGGGAGCAGTCGTGCAGATCGAGCCTGCGCCGGCTGGCTTTGAGCGGCGGCGGCAGTGTGGCAGTTCCTCAGCGCACCTGCTTTCAACTGTCTGCGGAATCATGCTCGCGTGTCAGCTGCTCCTTGACCTCAGACCAATGACCCCAGAAACAAGGGTAAAGCCGGCCTTACCTTGCCATGCTAGGTACCGAGCTATCCGATCTGCTTAGATGCCAAACAGACCGTTGTGTTTGATGCCTAATCTTCGGCCAACCTGGTGGCTTCGTCTCTGTGCAAGTACATTCTGTGCCCTCCAGCCGGGACCCTGGGAGTGAGGCTTTCCAGACGACCAAGCCCGCGTTGCGCCAGGCAGAGATGGAAGAATCCCGGCCCGCGAGCCTCAGGACGTGAAAAGCCCCACGAACCGCAAAACACGCTAAGTTTGCAATATAAGATCAGCCATCGGCGGAGTCCACTGCACCATCCCACGGCTGACCGGCCTTCTAAATTCTTCAGGGCACAAGCCCGCAGCACAAGCCTGCGTAAACCAACTTGCTGGAAAGTATGTTTACGCAGTCACCTTCACCTTGCCATCAGAATGAGAGAGCAGTGCGATGCTGTGGGACCGCGGCCTCCAGCACCTTTGCGGCATCCACATGCCGTCCGGACCTGCATGTAGCATGCTGCTTGCTTGAATCGCGATCTGCAACCGTGTCAATTTGATGTGCAACGGATCATTATGATCATTAAGTCCCACGCTGTAGAAGCAGTCCACCATAGTTAGCATGAGCTTTTGCTAGCTCCGTCGCTGCCGGCTGGCACCCTTCCGCAAAAGCAGATCAAATCAGCCAGCACACGAGCTCCCCGCGCCTGAGCATCTATTTCCATGCCACTACTGTAAGCGAGTCAAACCTTGCATAAAGTATTTCCCCACATATGCCTTGACATTGTTCCACGGCGGCCTTCGGCAGTACACAATATACGTCGTACGGTGAGCGGTCTGCACCGCACATTCACAGGCCTGGGCAGACGCACAGGCCCTCCGGTACCTCACAGAACCGAGAGCTTCCTCATGCAACAGCCGGCTCTGGAGCGTTTCAGGCGCGGACATCGCCTCTGCCTCAGCAGTCTCTTTGGACCTGACATCAAGAATCTCTGCGGTATGCTGTGCGGAGTCTTTATTCCTGTCGCCAGGCCTGCAATTCAAAAGGTCACCCCCCACCGGGGGCCACCCCCCTTCAACTCTTTCAACTGCTGATCCCCCGATGAAAAACTCTAGACTCTAACGATCCTTCTGCTGTAAGGCTTGGAGGAAGGAGCAATGGCCCTCCTTGCAAGCAACGAAGTCCCCAAATAAAGTGACTTCGGTTCCGCCAGGCCGTTCCCCCGCACGTGCCGTAGCTTTGGCAAATAGGGGTCATCCAAAGGATAGTGTCAAACAGCAAGTCCCTCCAAATTACCAAGAACATCCAAGAACCGACGACGTTTGTCGGGCGTGCATTCCAGCCTGGCTGCATCCCAATCCCGAAGTCCGTCCACGAACGCGGACGTCTCGCTAGGAAGAGTTACACTGAGGAAATAGAAGTGGAAGACATGATTCAGTCTTCCTGCCTTCCAACGTGTGTGTGACCAGGCCGCTCGCGTGCTGCACGACCCTCGTGCTTGCTTTGCTTGCTCGCTCGCTTGCTTGCTAGGGCATGGGGCTAAGGACCTCCGGTGCGCACGTCTGTCCCCAGCGCTCGCGGATACATCGCTTTCCGCGTTTTCGGGATGTCAGCGGAACAGGCTTGCAGTCCCGTGCTGTGTAAACACCAGAATCACGAGCGCCCTCTACCTGCTCAGCCCCACACTGATGCAGCAGGGTTGCCTCGGGGTGCTGGCCATAGTTGAATAAACAGCCGCACTAACGCTGGTGTTTTTGGACTCGCGCGATATTCAAGAGTAGGCCGCTGTGATCCGGTCCTCGGAAGCAACGATCGCACCCAAGAAGCGCAATGGGTTTTGGGAGCCCGTGGGCGCTACGAATCCGCAGGGCATGAGAAAGCCTTAGCATCTCCAAGATCTGGACTCGGAACTCACGCACGCACATAAGCTCAAGCGGCAGAGCTTTGGCTTTCTCCAGCTTGCCGCGTTTGAGCTCAAGAGTTCCAAAGTCCTGCGCGGGATGAAACGTCCGAGATTCAAGAACACCCGACATGAAACGATCGGGCGGACTGCAAAGGCCACACGTCCTTCAAGGTGTTGAACCTCAGCCGCCCAGCAGAACCCGGATCCCGGCCCATGCCGTGAACTTCGACTTTCCGGGCCAATTGCTGGTTGGGCTGCTCGTGCAGGATAGCCTTGCTGGAACATGCGAGAGCAGGGCTCCGAAAGAGTCGAAATCCCATTGTAAATTGTGGATTCCAGGGCCTCGAAAAGAGATGAGGACCCGGAAGCCCAGTGACATGCAACCTGCAACATGCGAACGTGGCGCAACGCTGACGACGATTGTTTGGGGCCACGAGTTTTGACATGTGCCAGGGGAAGTCAGTTTTCCAGTGCACTTGTCAGGACTGCTCTGCTGACATGGGCACAAAAAAAGCTAGTCCAGCACCCAACAGGACACTCTTGGACGATAAACAAAGGACGAAGGAAACGTCAGCCCGAATACCTCCGTAACGAAACCGTTGAACCAGGGCTTCGTTCTCACAACTGTAATCAACTGTACAAGTAAAGACTATGCCCAAAACATGCAATCGCGCGCAAACTTGAACGGTGAAAGACTATACACTCAAAATATTCAGTTGCAAAGCCTGTCACCGTGAAGAAAACCCCGCACCCAATCCCGATCGAGGATTTCGGAAACCGTTGGTGAAGCTTACACACCTGCTTGACTTGATCAGTCGCACACAAATTCCAAACCCGAACTCTCGACAAAGAGCTGACCCTAAAGCAGGAGATTTGGTGCTACAGTTGTATTGACGTTGATGTTGTTGGTGTTGTTGTTGGTGTTGTTGTTGCTGTTGTTGTTGTTGTTGTTGTTGTTGTTGTTGTTGTTGTTGTTCTTTTTGTTGTTGTTCTTGCTGCTGCTGCTGCTGCTGCCGGTGTGGTTGTTGTTGT